TCGTGCCTTTGGGTGTGCCCATTTCCTATGCTTGTCGATCTGTAGGGTCGGAGTCCCGGGAGGATTTGGGTAGTTTCTATGTACACGAGCGTGGTGCTCAGGTACGGAGGAACAGGTGAATGCATTGTCCTTCTCCACGGTTCAGGGGTAGGCGGCTGGTGGTGATAGCTCTGTCCGTCCCTTGTAATCCCTCACGTTCGTTTGGGGTGTAGGAGTGTAAATTGTCACATGAGGTTGCTGGCAGACCAATACTCGGTGGCCTCCCGACTCGCTTTACACTTAGTTCTACTCTGATTATGTAAATTATATGATCATTCAACTATTCTTTGTATGACTATATTAGAACATGCCTGCTCTACTTAGGATTATTCTTTTATTCTTTATTTCTATTTTATCCTTGAGGAATGACCAAGTGTGTGTCCACTACCTTGAAATATATCATTTTACCCCTGTTATGAACATTGGTTCACTTTACAAGTATGTTATTGAGTTCATATCTATACTAGAGTCTTAATCTATTATGCCTTCCTTTGAGAAAATATAAATAACAATACATTGAATACTTTTGGATGAAATGGTACAATAATAGATACGTGCGCTTGCGGATAAATATCTAAAATTATTAAGAAACTATCAAGGCTTTTCCTTGTGACATTGCTAATTACTAGTAGTGTTACTAAGACATGCCAACAATCATTTCTAGCACTATTGCTTGGATGGAGTTTATCTCCATAATTGGTAATTGTGTTTAGAAATGTCGACAAGCATTTTTTATGCTGTTGCCAGGGAAGGCAATTGATTAAAGAATCTAGTAGGACATTTTCATGATAATTTGCATGTATGGTAGCCATTGTTTATGCAGGCTAACTTTGCTTGTTTTCTCCTGTTGTGGATGAAAATAGGATAGTGTATGACCGGTTTTTATCTGCTGGAAAACTTCATTGGCAACCCGAGTCACTCCTAAGGAAGACTTGGTCTAGCGTCGCTTCTTCTTCGGCTACTCCACCGATAGCCGAACTAGTCATCCCCGCACCATTCGCTACTTCTATCATGGCTAGGACCCTCCACGACTACTCCGTCCCCACTGTTGCCAACATGCCCGTTGGGCCAGCTATCAGCACGGGTGAGGGAAACTTTGAATTGAAGACTGGCCTCATCATGATGGTGCAAGCAAACCCATTTTGTGGTTTGCCTAGCGAGGACGTGAACACGCATCTACAACAATTCCTTGAGCTGTGCGACACCATCATCATCAAAGACATCACACCAGCGAGCATCAAGCTTCGCTTGTTCCCCTTCTTCCTTGTGGGGAAGGTGAAACAGTGGTTCTACAAGGGCCAGAAAGTTGTCAATATGTGGGAAAATGTTCCATGGCGTTCCTTACCAAATTCTTCCCCATAGGCAAAACCAATGCCCTGAGGGGAAGAATTTCCAACTTCCAGCAGAACATAATGGAAACTATTCCCGAGGAGTGGGAAAGGTTGCAGGAGTACATCCAAGCATGCCCACATCACGGAATGAAGAATTAGTTAGTGCTCCAGAACTTCTATAATGGGTTAACACCCATGTCAAGGGGGCAACATTGATGTCGCTACTGGAGGCACCTTTTTCTCCCTCACCATCGATGGAGCCATGACTCTTTTCATAAAGATGGTCTCCAATCAGAGTTGGGGAGAGGAAAGAAAAACACCAAAAGCCATGCATACCGTAAAGGAGGCAGACATGCTTGCCGCAAAAATGGACCTTCTTATGAAAAGACTGGAAGAGCGTGCCCACGAAAAAGAAGCAATGAAGGGCATCGTCCAGGCTATAGACTCGCAAATGACTTGCGAGGTCTATGGCAATATTGGCCATTCGGGGAATGATTGTCCCAAAACCCACGAAGAAGCTGCCTTCATCAACAATGGGTTTCACCAATAACAAGAAGGCAATAACGGGTCGAACAACCAACAACATCCACCATTTCAAGGAGGTAACTCAAAATTCAATTCAAATTATAATTTGAATCAACCATCCTTGAAAGACTTGGTATTAGGTCAAGCCAAAATAAATGAAAATTTGACTAAAAGGCTTACAACTAATGACAAAATTCTTGAAAATATAAATAGTCAAATTGAAGGTTTAACTTCTACTGTTAAGAATCAAATGAGCTTTAATGAAATGATAGAAACTCAACTAGCTCAGATTGCTGCTGCCATTCCTATTAGCAATGATGGAAAAATTCTAGCTCAACCTGAAAATTCCTTTGAAAAAGTAAATGCGGTGACCATGAGGGGTGGTAAGTCCACTCGTGATCCACCATATCCTAACCATTCTGCAGGAAAAGCAAAAGGGCGCCATGAGGCCAAACCTTCAATGAAAACACAAAAAGAGAAAGATCAGCAAGAAGAGGAAACGACACGCCAAGACTTCGTCGACACCAATTACCTACTGTTTCCCACAAGGAACCTCAAGCAAGCCAGGGACGAGCAATTCACTCGTTTTGTTGAGATGATCGAGAAGATACATGTAAGCGTTCTATTAATGGACATCTTGCATGTACCTTCCTACGCCAAGTATATCAAGGACATCATCAATAACAAATGACCCTTGCCATCCACAGAGGTCATCAAGCTGACGAAAGAGTATAGCGCTGCTATACTCAACCATCTTCCTGAGAAGAAGAAGGACCCTGAGTGCCCCACCATCACGTGCTCCATCGGGACCCAGCAGTTCAACCACGCCTTGTGCGACCTTGGGGCTAGCATAAGCGTTATACCCAAGGCCGTCTTCGACAAGCTGAACTTTATGCACCTCGCGCCTACACCAATGATGTTCTAGATGGCCGATTCAATGGTGCGCTACCCGATAGAGATCGCCAAGGATATTTTAGTAAAAATCCGGGGTTACTTTATTCTCGTCGACTTTGTGGTGCTCGACATGAAAACTACAAAAGACTCGCCCCTTATCCTTGGGTGACCTTTCTTGAGCACTGCTGGAGCTCAAATTGATGTTGGAGCTGAAGAAATCCACTTCAATATCAATGGCAATGAAGAAAAGTTTGCCTTTCGGCCCAGACAGGAGCAATGCTCCATGATTCGCATCAAGTATAGGTCAAATCCACAAGGCATAAGAGAAGTGCAAGTCCCACCCAAATTGATGGACAACCTTGTCAAGAAGGACAAAGAAATAAAAAAAGGCCGAGCAAAAAGAAATTCAAGCAAATCACGAAGGAAGAAAAGCCAAAAGTCATTTCCACACCACCAAAGAAAAATAAAACGGTGTGAAAACCAAAAGAAGAAACTCTGAAGTCCATCATCATACCACTTAAAACAAACAAGATGGTGTGGAAACCCAAGGAGTAGCCATTTGCATCCACTTCTACGGGATCGGGCGCTTCATCAACAAGCAAATGAACGGAGAAGAGTCTTGCTCATTGGACTTTAAAAAATGAGTCCTTACCAAAGGTAAATCGGTGGTTATCTTTTATATTTATACTTTATAAAAGTTAGAAAAAAACTTAAGAATTATTAGTATATTCAAAAATTATAAAAGGCTAAAAAATATATACACCTCCATTGAATAAATCTTATTTATCTTCCCATGTTCTAAACAAAGTATGATTTGGTTTGGATATAGTTAGCATTCGATCATATTTTCATAGGACTTTTAAATTAAGCATGGTGCTTAGGTTACTTAGCCTACCTTGATCAGGTGTTTAATTTGATCAATGAACCAAAACTACAGAGTTTAGACATTGGTTGAATATAAATAAATGGAGGCATAAACCTATTAATAAAACAAATATAACATAATTAAAATAAAGACATTACCTCGGAGTCATCACCAAGCAATCCGGGACCGTAGGCTTCAAGCTAGCTTGGGGTAGGACTCCCGCAGAGGTAACTTGTATCTTTTAAATTTTTGCATTTATTTTCTGCATTTATTTAATTATTAGCAATTAAAAAATCTCTAAAATGAAAAATAACAAAAAAATGAAATATGATACAAACAAGAAAAAAATTTATTCCACTCTACATATGTGTTTAAGAATGTTTAGTTTCTCCTTTGTTGAAATGATAAATAGTTGCTCTGTCTATAATTCTTCTGTGCCTAGGCTGTAACTTAATATTCCCCAAGATTTAAGTTTACTAGCTAAAAATGTCTCATTCTAAAGACTTGAAAACTTGTGGGTTGCAAAAGCATAATCTTTTTCTAAGTTGTTGCGAGTTATGATATGGTATAAATAGAATATGCTTGTTCTAAGAGAAACTTGGCATCTAGAGTTTTCAATTTTAAAAAGGCTAAAATAAAAAGTTCCTCAATGATTATAAATTCCTACCACGGCCATATGCCAATATTCAAAGATATAAGATATAAACCTTAGTCATATGCTACTTGTAATCATGTTGAGTTTTGTCAAATTATTTGTGACCCTTGTTGAGATTCTCGTCATGCTCCCATGATCAAGATAGCATTAGAGAAAAAAATACATACCAAAGAGCATGATGAAAAGAAAATAAAGAAATAAAGATAGCCCATATTTTCAAGGCAATCATCAAAATGAGAGAGTCATGATCAAAGGAGTACCAAATAATAATAATAATAATAATAATAACAACAACAACAACAATAATAATATATGGGCTATTGCGTTCTTGCCCCTACTTTGATGTCCAGTTGTGATTTTACCCCTGCTTTTGTCATCGTTGTGATTTTACCCCTGTTTTTTAAAAACGAAGCTTAAGTTTACCCCTATTCCGTGAACAAAGAGTAACGGTGTCAAATAGGCTCAATAAGACAAGTTTGCCCTCGCGAAATTACCTCTGCTTATCTGAATACACCGTGATTTTACCCCTGCTTTACGACGCAGACTCATGCTGCGCCAATCATGGCGGCGAGGCGTAGTCGTCGCCCGCCGGCCGCGTTGCCTCGTGAACTGCTCCAAGGTCTCGAGGAGCTTGTTGTCGACGCGCCGACGTCGGCGATGTCGGACGAGCACACGACGCCGCATCGTCGCACTAGGCATAGAAGGCGTGGAGCGCGTCGATCTGCTTGGTGGTGCCGACGTAGGTCTCAAAGGCCTTGGCGCACTCGGGGTAGTCCATGTCGAAGAAGCGGTCGAGGAGGAGTGCAAGGACGAGCATGACGTCCTCATAGACTCTGAAGCTATCGAGCAATGGGTGGAGCATGGCGCGCGACGACGCTGGGCTGGCCCAGGCGGAGCCCATGGGGCGGCACGCGCGAGGAGGCGGTCAGCAAAGCCGCAGCGGTGGCGCCGCAGCCCAGAGCGCCTCCATGTCCAAATCGGCCGCCGCCGCCGTGCGCGGTCCTCCCCGACCTGATCGTCGGCGGCGCGCGCGCGGGGAGGAGCAGGGGGAGGAAGCGACACGGTCGAGGAGGTAGGTGGTGTAGGCGTGGGCGGCGGAGTGGTCCCACGATGCCGTGTGCACCTCATCGCGGAAGTCGAGGCAGCAAGCGAGCACGGGCTCCCCGCCGACGGTCGGTGAGGTCGCGGCAGAGCGGCTCGTGGAGGAACCGCGTGTGTGCCCTCTCCGTCGGCGTCCTCGGCGGGGTTGGGGTCGGCGTCGGTGGCGGCGAGTGGTGCAGAGTGCGCGGCACTTGGCGGCGATGACGTAGTAGCGGGTCCCTAGAGGCGGCGGGCGATGGAGGCGACTTCGGTGGTGCCGCGCCCATGGCGGACGCAAGGCGGAGCACCTCCCACATGTGGCGGTCGTCCGGGGTCGCGTCGTCGTGGGAGGTGGCGTGCACGATGGCCACGTCGAGGTCCAACACCACGGCGCCCGTCACCCGCGTGATGCCGATGGTCGCTGGTCACCCGTGGCGACGCGAGCGAGCACCTCCCAGCTTTGCGGATGGATATGGCGTGGCCGGGCGGGCGCCCGCCTGCTTCTTTACTTCGGTGCTCTTCCTATTAGGGTCTTGGGGATGGGGAATGAGAGAGACAGAGAGGACACGACAGAGGATTGGGGGATTGGGAGGGTAAGAGTGGATAAGGGGTATTACTGTCTTTTGGTCTTACTGTGAAGGGTTTTGTTTTGTTTTTATTTTTTTTATTCTAGATAAAGCTAACAGAGTTAAAAGTAAGGGTAAACTGAGCCTTAGTAGTTACAAAGCAGGGGTAAAATCACAACGATGACAAAAACGAGAGTAAAATCACAATTGGACATCAAAGTGGGGGCAAGAACACAATATTCCCTAATAATAAAATACTTAGAATTAGGAATCATTTAAAAATTCCACACACTTGCACTTCTTGATCAAAGTGTATGACTTGCATCTCCTTAGATCCAATTTTTGACTTATCAAAATATGTGATGCAAGTATGTCTTATTTTCATACCTACCCAAAACTCCAATAAAAAGCTTTAGAGGTAGGATGAAAAAGAATGCAAAATTATCGAACGCCTTGGTGAGGATCTTACAACTTGAGCGAATGAGAGAATCATTTGAGGAACTTACATTTATTTCCAAAACTCATAAAACCTATGGACAAAAGGTTGATCAAAGAATGAATGATTGGAAATTCTATGAAAACCGTTCTATCTTGCAACCACCCGAGACATGAAAAAGCAATAAGCCCCACAAGGATTAAGTAAAAAGGGTGGATAGAATGCCATACTTATTTGAATTGTAGAAGAATACTTTGTTATAGGCATGACAATTGTGAATTGAATAATCAGCATAGTAGCAACTCCTGATCAACAATCAAGGACTTAGCTATTTGCTAGGGACTAGCAAAGGTTAAGCTTTGTGGATCTTGTTGGCAGTACTTAACGACTATTTTTAACAGCCAATTAAGACATAAAAAGAGGACAAATTGACATACTTATACACATGTATTTACTATTAATCAAGTTTCACATGTATTTTTGAGATTTCTATTTTGTAAGACTTAAACTTGAATACAGTGGAAAACACAACAAAAAGGCGTTTTTCAACAAAGCGTAATGCTGAATTGCACAAAGGAATAATATAAAGGCCCATCTACCCAGATAATTTAGGCGAAGTACCCATCGGGGCATGCTCTAGGTCCAACCAGAGGCCTGCCACGCGAAGTCGGTGGCCAGTGGAGGGAACTAGGGTGCGGCCGCACCCTGCGTGCGCCCGCACCCCCAGCACCGCCTCTCGGGCCCACCTTCGCATGGCGGTTCAATCAATGCTCCTAGAGTCGGTTGCATGCAGGATCTCCATAGAATATGCTCTGCAACCGACCATTCCACTAGTATATATAGATAGGGAGAGCCCCCTCTCTCACTACATACACCATTTGGAGCAACACATCAATCTCTACCTTGTACTTTTACATTTTAGTAGTCATCTAGAGCAAGGCAAAGCTACGTTAGAGGGCTTGACTCCTTGAAAGAGATTCTTGGTATCAATAGCAATATGAGTTCTTCTAAAGTCTTGTTCCTTACTTATTATTATAGTCATACTTATGAACTAGAGTATAGTCTTTATGTTATGATCTTAGCATATGAACTAGCATATAGTTCATATGCTATGAAATTAGCATATATGACTTATTGCTTAATCATTCAAATAAATCATATGATTAGAATTAGAGCTAAGTTGAGGTGGCGGTTCATCGTGCCTTTGGGTGTGCCCATTTCCTATGCTTGTCGATCTGTAGGGTCGGAGTCCCGGGAGGATTTGGGTAGTTTCTATGTACACGAGCGTGGTGCTCAGGTACGGACGAACAGGTGAGTGCATTGTCCTTCTCCACGGTTCAGGGGTAGGCGGCTGGTGGTGATAGCTCTGTCTGTCCCTTGTAATCCCTCACGTTTGTTTAGGGTGTAGGAGTGTAAATTGTCACATGAGGTTGCTGGCAGACCAATACTCGGTGGCCTCCCGACCCGCTTTACACTTAGTTCTACTCTGATTATGTAAATTATATGATCATTCAACTATTCTTTGTATGACTATATTAGAACATGTCTGCTCTACTTAGGATTATTCTTTTATTCTTTATTTCTATTTTATTCTTGAGGAATGATCAAGTGTGTGTCCACTACCTTGAAATATATCATTTTACCCCTGTTATGATCATTGGTTCACTTTACAAGTATGTTATTGAGTTCATATCTTTACTAGAGTCTTAATCTATTATGCCTTCCTTTTAGAAAATATAAATATCAACACATTGAATACTTTCGGGTACTGTGCCAGCCGGGCAGCCCCCATTCACGGCGCGGCTATGCGACCGAGCGCTGTGCTCTGCTCTGACCGAGCGCTCGTGAGCTATTGTCCACTTTAGCAGCCACGTGAGCTGGCCACGTCAGATGAAATTCTAAAATAAAGGGGTATGAACTATTTAGACCTAAAAATACAGTTTCAATGCTAATGGACTTAAGTGACACAGGCCGGCAAGTTAATGGACTAACCATGCATTTTACTCTTAACTAAATATATATATAATATTAATATTTATAGTACATAATTAATATCATTAGATAGATATTAAAAACTCGGCCTGCGACTGACACCGGGTACTGTGCTTAAGAAGAAGGTCTTCTCACATAGACTAAGAAAATTCCTGAACCCCTGCCCCACCATACACAGGGAGACGTTACCCGTGAGAAAGGCCGATCTCTTTACCTGTGCTTTGGCCTGGGGCAAGCGACGGGATTTTTTTCTACCATCAAATTCGCTCCTATGGGAGTTCGAACTCACGACCTGAGGGGTGTCGCCGGAACTGCTTAACCAGCTAGTCTAGCATCCTTCGACATTAGATAGATATTTGAATCTAATTTTTTAATAAATTTATTTAAAGATATAAATGTTGCACGTATTTTTTCTACAAATCGAGTCAAATTTTTAGCACGGAAACAAACGACGACAGGTAATTGCGAATAGAGGGAGTATGTTCGTCTCTCGTCAAATTTCCTGGGTCCACCACTTTATAAAACAATCAACAATTTTGTTATATTGCACCAATGCATAAGTAATTGGTTTAGGACTGAAAATTTTCTAAGGATACAACATACTTTACCGTTGCATGAAGATGATTAGCATCCTGCCGGGGTGTAGAAGCAGCATGGGAGCTTGATGGAAGATTATCCGAAGCGGAAAGTATAATATGCGTCCAACGCGCAAAGCGCGGACCGAGCGATGCGGCTGGCCCACCCGTCTCCCTCTCGTTCTTCCCCGCGCCTGTGCCCACGCTCGCTTGCGCCGGCGCCCACGCTCGCTGGCTAGGGCTCCAGCGAGGACCTTGTCGGTGTCAGGTAAGTTAAGTGCCCTTTCTCTCTCTCTGGCCTCTCTCCTTCTTCTCCATCTCCGGCGAGCATAGAAGGGGGTTCGGGAGGCGGAAGGCCGGCCAGGCGGTGCCCCCGGGCAGTTAGGGGCCTGCAGCGGTGAGACGGTTGGGCCAGGTCAGGACAAGAGCGCCATGGTCGAGCTCGCCGCCACGGGAGGGGAATGGGAAGAAGGCGGCCACCGCGGACGCGCTAGAGTTCGCAGGTGCTCCGCGGGTCACAATAGTGTTTGGACGCACAATAGTGTTTCTCACAATCTATTTACGTGACCATATATCTATTTCCATATAATGCAATGTCTTTATGTGACTAAAATGATTATCTTCTGAAAATTTAATTGCATGTTATTATTAAAATATCAGTTTTTTGTGTTAAAACTAAAAAAATCAAGTGAATTAACTCTCAATTGGCCGAGTTTGCAATCACTGCCCCTCCCCCGAACGGGCGCGGCGTCATCCCCTCGCTGCCTGCGGCGGCGGCGACGGCGAGAAACAGAATTCCAAAGAAGTTGGTTGGCTCTGAGTCTCTGACAGATGCGGTCGGACTCGGACTCCAAATCGGAAGTTGTGGTTGTCTCGGAGCCGGAAGCTTGTGGTTGTATCGGAGGCGGTAGCAGCGTCGCTGCCTATTTATGTGAGCCGCCCGGAGCTGCTGTGGAGGCATGTTGGCCAGCCGATGCAGTGGACCGTCCAGTCCCTTCATGCGACGACCACAGCACCAAGCGACGCCGCGGTGCCGCCACCGCCGCCGCGACCTCCTCTCCCTGGCCCTCGATGTCCGAGGATCTGGTCGCGCACATCGCGGAGCGGATGCTCGCCGGAGATCTGCTCGACTACGTCCGCTTCCGCGCCGCGTGCCGCCACTGGCGCTCCTGCACCGTCGACCCGCGCGGCAGAGGCGTGGCCGACCCCCGCTTCCACCCACGCCAGTGGATGATGCTCCCCGAGGGGCACG